GAGAAATGTCATTGTTCCTTCTGCTTGAACTGGCACCGAATGGTTGCTGGCAACAACAACTTCTTTCACATTGGAGGGCTTGAGGCTGTGAAGGAGGGAGGCATGAGGGGTCATATGTTGATCACATCCACTGTCCAAAAACCAAATCTTGGGATCCTGTGTCAATGCATGCAGACAAGAGGATGATGCAAATGCGAAACTCGGTGCATTGGATTTAGTAGAGTCCCTCTCATGTGAAACGACTCATGTGGTGGCTTGAAGAGGCGCCTCTGGTGTGGGAGGTTGTGGCATAGAGGAAGCAGAGACATGGTTTTGAGATGACACTTTGGAAGCATTCTGAAAGAGTGCCCCATGATGCGCACTGTCTGGTTGATTTTCTGGAGGGGTATGGGATGTAATAGCAATGGCGGCCCTTCCTTTGTCAGAGATCAGAGATGAAGGTGGTGTCCAGTTTGCAGGACGTATGTTGCACTTGAACCAAGGATGTCCCCATTGATGACAGTAATGACACTCAAATTGATACCTTGACTTTGGCTTATAAGGAATATGATTAGAGTATGATGCAAGCTGAGAAACATGACTTAGTGTGGGTTGTCCAAGAAGAGAGTGTGTTGGGGTTTGAAAGGACTTACCTTGCTGAAACTTGCTCTGTTGTTGAACACCTTGTTGAGGGCGATAGTTGGAACTTGTCATTCCACTCCATGCTGGTCCAGGGTTTCTCTGAAGCTTTGCAAGCTCTCTCGTCTGATGTTCGGTGATGAGCGTGTTGAAGATGAAGTCTCGGGTCCTTATCTCCTCAGGAAAGGCTTGAATGGTGCTTCTCATAGTGCTCCATCCGGATGAAAGTCCCGCTAGGAGAATGGTGATGAAGAGAGATTCCGGGACCTCAATGTCGAGAAGTGTCGCTTCGTAAAGGACCATTTCACCACGTTGTAAGTAGTCGGGGATGGTTTCACTCTCCCCCATGCGGAGAGAGACAATCTTGTTCCACACTTCTGCCTTAGAACCTTGGGAAATAGGTTGATGAAGACGTTTGAGCCGCTCCCAAGCAGCTCTGGCACTGTCTTTTTGAGTTGATACGAGGAGGAGGGGTTGAGAGTAGGGGTCTTGAATGGAAGAGAGGAGATAGAGATAAGCTTCAGCATTTTTCTTGATCCAGTTACTCTGTTCTTGATCAGGTGCAGCAGTTGAAGGGGGAGTGTTTTGGCCAATGTAGATAGGCCAAAGATCAAGAAGAGTGGCGGCTTGTTGAAAGCGGATGCTCCATGATGAAAAACCTTTGCCGTTGAAGCGTGGAAGCTCCAATTTGGGGACTAAGGAGGAGGTAAATGTAGATGTAGTAGGTGGTGTAGATGGAGATGATGTGTTGGTTGTAGGAGGTGCTGATTCGTTTGAAGAGTTGGTGGTTACAGCTGGTGAAGTTGATCCCATGGGAACACTTGAGTCCTTTTCATCCATGTTGGGAGATTAAAACTCCTGATAAAATCAAACAACTTCACACAAGGGGAAGGGGAAATAGACAAGCACACACACACACACACACACACAAGAACAAAGAAAGGGGAAACACAAAAGGGAGGACCCCAAAGGGGGCACAAGACCAGGTGCAAGGATGCCACTAATGGCAAATAATGGGCTAAAACAAAACCTAGACAAGATGCGCACGGAAGAGACAGCAAAAAGGAATGAACTCGAGCTCTGATACCATCTTGAAATTTGGTAAAGGATTAGGAAGGGTAAATAGCAAGTAGAGAGAAAGAAAAACACCTAGAAGAAAGAGTTAAGAGTGAAGTAAGACAAATTTGATGAGATAAAGAAACTCTTTGAGAAGAGATTAAGTAAGAATTTGAAGACTTTAAATAAGAAGGTTAAAGAGAAAAATAACAACTTGAAAGAAAGATGATGAAAACATTAAAGGGAAAGAGCAATTGATTGGAAGAAAGGTATTGAATGGGTGATTGATGAAAAGGTAAATGAGCTTGAAAATTAAACAAACTTGATAATGACAACTAAGATTTGATAGGAAAGGAGATTTGATAAGAATGAAGAAGCTTTAAATAGGGAAGCTTGAATTGAGAAGCTTGACAAGAGTGAAAGGAGGTGACTTACCTTAAAGACTCTTACTTGTCATTTTGAAGGAGCTTTGTAACTTGAAGAAGCCAAGCTTGAATTGTGAATCTTGATTGTTGGAAAGAGAGTGAGATCCAAGCTTGATTGTTGAGTAGTAGATGTTGATTGTTGAGTGGAGAAGCACCTTCCAAGCTTGAGTGTTGAGGTGTAGATCTTGTTTGTTGTGTTGAGAAGAACCTCCAATGATTGTTGAGTGAAGAAGGTGAAACTTGAGTCTTGATTGGAAGAAAGTCAAAGTTGATGTTGAGGCCTTAAAACTTAAAATGCACTAGTCCAAAGGAGGTACATGATGGACTTGAAGAGCAACCATTGATTAACAATCTAGTAGAAAGACTATGAAGCATAAACTTCTCTAGAGTTGGAGAACATGGCTATGAGCTTGGGTTGGGAGAGGTTGAGGTGATGAGTGGAGCCTTAGGAGTTGGGCATGAGGAGGAGGACTTTGAAGTGGCCTTGAGAGAGCTTAGAGTAGAACTTGTTGAGAGCTTGGGTAAAAATTGCTTGAAAAGTATGAGTAAAGAATGGGGTGGACCCTTTGTTTTGTATTTGGTGGAGCTTGAGGTTGGATGAAGGAGAGGAGGAGATGAATGATTGTGATTGGTTAAGTTGGATAAGGTGGGGGTGGTGAATGTGGCCTTGAAGTTAAGGCTTGGTGAGTGGGATGAATGTGGCCTTGAAATTAAGGCTTGGTGAGTGGGATGAATGTGGCCTTGAAATTAAGGCTTGGTGATTGGAATGAATGGGGCTTTGATTTAAGGCTTGGTAGGGAATCTTTGGATTGATTGGTGGAGTTTGGGATGAGAAGGTTGAGGAGGATTGGAGAAGAGATGAGGTGGAGGATTGAAGGATTTGTATTGGGTGAAAATGGAAGTGTGTCTTGCTGACTGGAGATAAGGATGATGAAGTGGCGAATGGGTAATGTTGGTAGATGCCCTTTGCAGATTCGAATTTTGGCTGACGGGGAAACTGTGGCGAAAATTTTCGCCACGTGAAATTTTTTTTTTTTTTTTTTTTTTTTTCCGCCACCCTGGTGCCACGCGAGCAGCAGCAGCAGTTCATTTCAACACAGCTTCCTCGCCAGGGTTCGCGCTGCGGTTTGGATACAAACAACAGAAATGGACAAACGGAAACCAAACATTTCTGTACATGCTATAATGGTGTCTCCCTTAAATCAGTACATCCACACTCCCCTTATTTGATTACAGATATATATAAATAACAATAGTGCTGTCTGTTTATTGGCTTTTATTTTCTTTGATTGATGAAATTTTTTTGAGTTCATAACGAATATGATTGTTCTTAAAAAAAATTACTCTAAAAAAAATAGTTGCACTCGATAACAACCCTGAAAATCAGGGCTGGGAGAAAAACCTCCCTGGAAATCAGTCTACTGGAAAATGGAAACATACCCCGAAATATATCTTCAATATCTATTGAGCCCGGGTTCTCAATAACGCAGATATCTCTCTCTGACACATAGCGTTTCGGTTCAATTCAGTCAGAACCGAGTTCCCAGCACAAGCACACTGCAAATCAGTTTCCACTGAATTGTCTTCCTTCAGCTGCCATGGCTTCCATTCCGTCCATTTCCTTCAGGCTCCCCTGCCTTCACGTGAACTCATGACAACACGCGCGGCACTCACATTAGGAATGACGCATTTGCGAGACTTTCGTTTCAACCGTACTTAGCAGCATCTTCCTGTGTATGATCGTGCCGCACATAGCTCAGGAAATGTCATCCTCGTTAAAGTCATCTCCCAGCTCCAAACGGTTCTACGCGGCTCCATGCAATGAACCCGTTAGTTGAATAGCCAATGATAGCGTCGCGAAAGAATCGAGCTGTTCATCTTAACCAACCGCTCGTTAACGTCCGTAATGAGGCTCGCTCGCTAACCACTTGTTCGGAGACTTGCAACAATTTACGAAAACTTTACAGAATCTTCGGGGTGTACAGCATCCAGCGGCTCGATCCTTTCCCAAGAACTCGCTGTTATTTCAAACGGCTTTTTTCTTGTCGTTTTCTCGTGCTCGCGGCTCGAGCTTTTACTAGCAAATGGCCTCGCTTCCAACGGTCACGCGGTTCATCGACGGATCCGCGAAGAATCCCTCCGTGCTCAGAGCAATCATTGCTTCGCGAAATGATGTCGCAAGAGCGGCTGTTTGTACGGAACCGAGCGTTTTCCCACCGGTTTTAATAGTTCCGCGTGACGCGAACTTGAATACCATCATGTCACGCTTCCGGCGGACGGAACACTGCGTACGAACAACAAGTGCGCTGCCATGCCAGCTGTAGGGAAGAGGGGAAGTCACTGGGAAACCTGCGAAATCGTAAGTTGTAACTCGCGCGAAAGTTGTTCAAGGCGACAACGGGACGAGATTAAAGGCATGACTATGAAATGAGGCGTGGGGAGTGAGCGAAGAGGGAGAGGGGACGTCAGGGGTCAGGGAGGACTCTTCAGAAGAGGAGAGGGGGAGGAGACAGAGGGAGAGGAGAGGGGAGAGGAGACAGATAGAGACACTGGGAGGGAAAGGGAACGGATAGAATTAGACGCTTCATAAAGCAAGTTGTTTTCTTCTTCTCTTTTTCATGAAGAATCTAGCTGCCGGTTTCTCTCGGCTAGTGTCACTTGCGAATTGTCGGCTAGTGCCTCACAGTGATGTGGCGTAGTAGGGTATAACGGCGTGGAATAAGTTATGGAAGGGTTCACTTCGGTGCTGAATTTCGTTACAGGACGAACCACACAGATTTGATAGAGAAAGTGGCAGAAGCAGCAGCAGCGCATTGGCATTAGCAGGCCCAAAGTGGCAGCAGAAGCAGAAACAGACGCAGAAGCAGCAGCAGAAGGCGTGGGTAATCGCAGAGTTCCATAATGCATCGAGCATGTCGACACATCTTGCTCTTCGTGGCTCTGCTGCTGCTGGATGTCAGCAAATGGACGGACCAGATCGTTCCTGGTGGGGATCGGACGGACGGGAAGCCATCTAGGGGAGTGCTGCTGTGTGCAGCAGGCATCATCGCTAAGAGCGACCTCACTATGTGTGTGGCTGATGGGGGGGTTGCTGGTATGCCAGCATCATCATCAGCAGCAGCAGATGTATCCGCATTAGCATCTGCGGGAGTAGGAGATGGAGGAGTGGGGTACGGTCCAGCTGGAACAGTGCCTGGGGGAGGTTGGGGAGGAGGGGAGCAGCAGCAGCCGAGTTACATACCAGACGGGGCCAAGTCGGTCAAGTGCAGGAAGAAGATTGTGCTGTCCCTTGCTGTCTCCAACGGTCATGTGAGTCCTCCACTGGTTACCCATTCATTCAATGTCAGACGGCCCTCTTCTAGAGTTACATACCAGACGGGGCCAAGGCGGTGAAGTGTAGGAAGAAGATCGTGCTGTCGCTTGCTGTCTCCAACGGTCATGTGAGTCCCCCACAGGTTATCCATTCAGTTGCTGCCAGGTGAGGTGACCCCTCTCTTTGAACTTTGTACCAGACGGGGCCAAGTCGGTCAAGTGTAGGAAGAAAATCGTGCTGTCCCTTGCTGTCTCCAACGGGCATGTGAGTGCACATGGTATTCATTCAGTTGATGCCAGCCAGGTTACCCTCTTCTTGCAGAAAATGCTGCAGAAGGCCAGGACGGTCAAGTGCAGGAAGAGGACTGTGCTCTCACTTGAGTCCACAGGCCTGCTTGACCCACAATGCTACCCAGGAAACGAGTTTTGGGACGACTCAAAACAGGCCTGCTTGACCCGGAATTTTGATTGACCTTTTGAGAATTCTCAAAAGTTCAATCTCACTTGAGTCCACAGGCCTGCTTCTCCCAGAATTTTTACCCAGGAGACGAGTTCTGGGACGACTCAAAACTAGAGACGTCTCAGAGCCAGGAAACCTAAACCCCTTTGGAAACAGCACAAGTGCCTTGCATGAGAAGGTGACGCCCATGCCGACTTTAATTCACCCACTCTCTTGTTCCTCCCTCCTCTTAAGCCTCCTATTCTCCCTTCTCCCCTCCAGACGCTTGGGACAGAGGCAATAGAAGCAGTGCTGACTCGAGTCAGTGACAGCACAGGCGGCGCTGCTGGTGGAAGGAATGGAGACAGCAGCAAGGGAGAAAACACCACCAAGGGCAGGGACGGCGGAGGAGGGGGAGAGAGCAGCAGCATGAGAGCGAACGGCGGAGGAGGGAATGGCACTGTGGCAGGAGGAGGGGAGGGAGTGGAGAGGCGGTTGGCAGACCCTGTGAAGATCACGGTGGTGAAGACACCGGTATATGCCGTGTACCCTCTCACGTTCCTGCAGGTAAGGTTGATGTAGTGCTGGCAACAAGCTACAGTGTTGACCTCCTTTCTTGCGTCGGGTAAGAAATGAAAATGACGCAAAGCCCAGATCTTCTTTCGTGCCGAGGCACGCGTTACAATGGCTCAGGCAGCCCGCATCCACTCCGCTAAGGCTTGGCTCTTCCGCATGCTGGGCCGGTTTTCTTGTTTTTCTTGAAGTCCCCTCCCCCCCCCCCCCCCCTCCCCCCCTCTCCTCTCTCTGCCTGCCACGTGGCAGTCCTTCAATGGCCGGCCATACGAGGTGGTGGTGACTACAACGGGGTGCAGGGACGGTGCATATGACAGCGACCCCACGTGCGGCTGGTTCCTCTACCCAGATGGCACAAGAGTGCCCAACAGCCAGGTGGGAGAGTTGTCACGGACAAAACACGTCTGTGGTTCTCACGGAACCCACACGTGTTTCTCACTGTGGTTCTCCCCACACGTGTTTCTCACTGTGGTTCTCCCCACACGTGTTTGAAGAAGTGTTTTGAGACGTCTCAAAATGTTTCTCACTGTGGATCTCCTCACACGTGGCTGCTGGTTCCTCTATCCCGATGGGATGGCCCCCAGGGTTTCAAGCAGCCAAGTGAATCAACATGCTGAGCAAATCACACACTCGAGTGAGCAACGGGGTGCAGGGCAGGGAGAGTGCGTATGACAGCGACCCCACCTGTGGCTGGCAGGTTCGTTCCTCTACCCGGACGGCACACGAGTGCGACGTGACTTTTGAGTCGACTCAAAAGTCACCTCGTATGACAGCGACCCCACCTGTGGCTGGTTCGTTCCTCTGCCCGGACGGCACACGAGTGCACTACAGCTAGGTGGTTTTTGAGACGTCTCAAAAACAACCTCGCTTCACGTGAGACGTCTCAAAAACCACCTCGCTTCACGTGAGACGTCTCAAAAACCACCTCACTTCACGTGAGACGTCTCAAAAACCACCTCGCTTCACGTGAGACGTCTCAAAAACCACCTCGCTTCACGTGAGACGTCTCAAAAGCCACCTCGCTTCACGTGAGACGTCTCAAAAACCACCTCGCTTCACGTGAGACGTCTCAAAAACCACCTGTGGCTGGTTCGTTCCTCTACCCGGACGGCACACGAGTGCCCTACAGCTAGCTAGGTGGTTTTTGAGACGTCTCAAAAACAACCTCACTTCACGTGAGACGTCTCAAAAACAACCTCGCTTCACGTGAGACGTCTCAAAAACCACCTGTGGCTGGTTCGTTCCTCTACCCAGACGGCACACGAGTGCACTACAGCTAGCTAGGTGAAGCAACATTGTAAGAGTCACACATCCATCTGAGCAACACGGCGCAGCTGCGCAGGGATCGCCTTTGCCAATGTCCCTCTGTAAATGTGGCAGGTTCTTCAATCCGGCTTGTCCCAGGGTTCCCAATGGCCAGGTGAATCAGAATGTCAAGAACCCCACATGATCTTTTGCTAACCTTTCCTCCTGATTTCGTCTTATTTTTCCCGTTGCTTGCGTTCAGGGGTTCTGCTGCAGTTGCAGTGGTGGTGACACGTGGAAAGACTCCATTGGTCTGGACAATCCGCAACAGTTCAGGGCTGACCTGGACTGTAGCCTGTGGCGGCAGAGTGAGTGGCTGAGGAAGGGAGGCGTATTTTGCGGGAAAGGGAAAAAGGGAGAGAGATTGAGGGAAGGAGCGGGTGAAGTTTGTAGGGACAATCCAGTAGTTTCCGTTAACACACAGCAGAAGGATTTTCGACTAATTTGGTGTTTCTGCTTCTGTTTCACATCTTGACTCTTCCACCGCCCATCACAGAGCTGTTTTTTGGAGGAGTGCCCTCGAGTTCTCACTGCCTTCGGTTCAATGACACCTGGTCAGTTGTGGCCCTTAGCTTTGTTTTGTTTTGTTTTGTTAATGTTGATGTTGAATTCTGTTCGGTACCTTCTGCTCGCTCAACAAGAAGAGCCGCACGTTTCTATGGTCGCTTGTCCACGTGTTTGCGTGTGCACATTCATCCACAACGGCCCCGTTTGCCTGGCCAGTGAAAAAATGATATCTTGCAATTCACGTGCATTCGTAGACCTTGTGCACATTCACATTCCATTCCACTCCTCTCCTCTCCTCTCCACTCCACTCCACTCCACTCCACTCCACTCCACTCCACTCCACTACCCTCCCCTCCCCTCCCCTCCCCACTGTCCATATCACCCCACCTCACCGCCTTTCTGACGACCAGCACCAAGTACAACATAGCGTGAACTGCCTACACTACTTTCCCGTCTCCCACACTCGTCCTCACCTCCCCACTCCTCTCCACCACTTTCCACACCACCAGGTACCCCACGTACCGCATAGGCGTGGCGTCTCTGGTGTTCCAGATCCAGATCACCATCAGCAAGCTGTTCTCTGACTCGCACGAGCAGGTGCGCTACAGGTGCATACGGGCAGGAGCAGGGTTGACGGGTGATGCTAGAGGTAGAGGTAGAGGCTTGGAGTGGCGTCTCTGGTGTTCCAGATCCGCATCACCATCAGCAAGCTTCTCTCTGACTCGCACGAGCAGGTGCATTGGGGGCAGATGTGTGGGGGCAGATGTGTGGGGGCAGATGTGTGGGAGCGACAGGTGTCGTAGTGGACTGGATACGGCCAGGTGTAGGGGTGAAGGCGCGTTGCAAGAGAGAGAGTCTTGAACCTCTGTCTCTGTTTCAAATCCAGATCCACAACACCATGCTGAAATCACTTTTGAGAATTGAATTCTCGAATGTGATTTCCAGATGCACATCACCATCAGCGAGCTGCTATCCGACTCACACGAGCAGGTGCGTGCATGGGAGAGGTGCTGTGTGGGAGGGTCTTGGGAGCAGGTGCATGGGAGAGGTGCTGTGTGGGAGGGGAGATAAGTGCGTAGAAACAGGTGTGTGTCATTGTGGACTGGACTAGGCACGGTCAGAATTTTTAGGCGCCTCAATTTCTTGAGGCGTTTTTTTAGGCGCCTCAAAAAGGTGTTGTGTGGAAGATTCGTGCGTAGAAACCTGCGGGTGTCATTGTGGACTGGGTACGGCCAGGCTTAATGCGTGAAGGGTGTGATACGTTCTCCTAAGAGTTAGACTGCCTACTCCTTCTCGAATGGTTGACTTCTCCTTTCTCCTTCTCTTTCCTTCTCTCCCACCCCCCCCCTCTCCTCTCCTCTCCCCGCACACACTTTTGAGGCGCCTCAAAAGCCTTCTCTCCCAACCCCCCCCCCTCCTCTCCCCGCACACAGGAAACGCTCATCCTCTCGCCCATGGCCCCAGTCGCAGTCAACCCCTCTCAATCGCTCTCAGCCACTCTGGTGGGGGACTTCCTGACCTACACGCAGCTGCCGAACCTGAGTGATCGCCTTCTGTCCGTGCCCCTTCAGCCAGGATCTCCCACGTTTGGCCGATTCACCTCCGACACGTCAGGTGGGTTGCAAATGGGGTTGAGTGGAAGGGCGCAGGTGATAGCAGGGGGATCGGCGAGGGAAAGGGAGAAAGGGTAGGGGATGGGACTTCCTGACCTACACGCAGCTGCCGAACCTGAGTGACCGCCTGCTCTCCGTGCCCCTGCAACCAGGCTCTCCCACCTTTGGCCGATTCAGCTCCGACACGTCAGGTGGGGTTAGGGTACTTGATACACACCAGGTGAGGGGGGGAGGATAGGGGTGAAAGAATGGGAAATAGCTGATTTCCTGACCTACACGCAGCTGCCTAGCCTGAGTGACCGCCTGCTCTCCGTGCCCCTGCAACCTGGCTCCCCCACCTTTGGTCGATTCAGCTCCGACTCTTCGGGTGGGGTGGGGCCATGTGCCTGTGTCCAAAGAATCTCAGGTATGTCTCACAACTCATCATGCCATTCTCTCTAACATTCCTGCGAAATCCACCTGGATAATTCTCTCTCGAATAATTCTCTCTCGAATAATTCTCCCTTACCTCCTCCTGTCGTCTGAGACTTCAATCTCAACTTTCGCCCAGGCTGGCTGCTAGTGGACAAGGAGCGCTACTCGCTGGACGGCAGCGAGTGAGTGCAACAAGGTGGGCACCAGCTTCAGTGGCCCAAGGATATGCTTGTAGCTCAGCTCAAGAACTTTGACCTGGGCAAAATCCCTGCACCGCGATTCCTGATCCCATCCCCAGGCTGGCTGCTAGTGGACAAGGAACGCTACTCGCTAGGCGGCAGCGAGTGCAACAAGGTGGGCACCAGCTTCAGCGGCCCAAGGTTATACGTATATCTCAGCACAAGAACAAGAACTCTCACCATAGCAACATTCTTGCATCGCGATTCCTCATCTCATCCCCCCGATCCAGGCTGGCTGCTAGTGGACAAGGAGCGCTACTCGCTGGACGGCAGCGAGTGCAACAAGGTGGGCACCAGCTTCAGCGCCTTCCGCTTTGAGCCCGAGCGCTGCCAGCGCTCTGTGGGCTCCTGCCTCTCCAATCAGCTGCTGGATTTCGCCCAGGTCAGTTGGTTATTGAGGCGAACCACAGCAGGAGTCGGTGCCTCAAGGTGCTGGAGTGGACGGCAGCGACTGCAACAAGGTGGGCACCAGCTTCAGCGCCTTCCGCTTTGAGCCCGACCGCTGCCAGCGCTCTGTGGGCTCCTGCCTCTCCAATCAGCTGCTGGACTTCGCCCAGGTCAGTTGTTAGAGAATGGCAGGTTCGAGGTTCAAATCTCAACACTGCATCATCGAATACACCATTGCCAGTGCTCCGTGGGGCTCCTGCCTCTCCAACCAGCTGCTGGACTTCGCCCAGGTCAGTTGATGCTCGGCTGATGCTCCCCACAGGTCGATTGGATGGGTGGTTTATGGTCTGAATCTGATCGGTTACCAGCATTTCAATTGTTTTTTTTAACCATTAGCCCAGCGAGGTCTGTTGGGTTAAGCCAGGAACGCTGTCAATGAGGCAGGAACGCTGGCAATGAGGCAGGAACGCTGGCAATGAGGCAGGAACGCTGGCAATGAGGCAGGAACGCTGGCAATGAGGCAGGAACGCTGGCAATGAGGCAGGAACGCTGGCAATGAGGCAGGAACGCTGGCAATGAGGCAGGAACGCTGGCAATGAGGCAGGAACGCTGGCAATGAGGCAGGAACGCTGGCAATGAGGCAGGAACGCTGGCAATGAGGCAGGAACGCTGGCAATGAGGCAGGAACGCTGGCAATGAGGCAGGAACGCTGGCAATGAGGCAGGAACGCTGGCACTAAGGCAGGAACGCTTCCAGCGGGTGGCTCAATACCTTAGGCCATGCAGGGTCTATTGGGTTCTCATTTCAGTAGGGATGACTCATGAGATAAGATAAGAGTCATCTCAATCCTTACTTTCTAACCCCTCCTCTCCTCACCCGTCATCTCGCCACGGCAGGAGGACGCCCAGCGAGTGGCGCAGGGCCTTGACCCCATCCACGCGCTGTCGTCACTGGGACCCATCACCACCCTGGAAAGCGTGAGTGCAGCTCAGAGGGTGCAGGCTTGTTTTGCTTTGCAGGGATTGTCAGGAGTTACTGAGTCGACCCTACAGTCACCCAGAGGTTGGCGCCAGAACAGACGAACGTCCCGCTTTCCCGGGTGGCGCAGGGCCTTGTCATCGCTCGGGCCAATCACCACCCTGGAAAGCGGGACGTTTGTCTGTTTTGACGTCGCCATATGTATAGCCTACTATACGGGGTTTTTTTTTTCTTCAAGATATTGCAACACCGGCAAACGCTTTATGCGATTGGTAATTTCGCAGCAGTGTGCCGCCACTATGCTTTTTCCAGCGTACCTGCTTTCTTTCTTTTCCTTCCCTTCGAGATAACCTTTTTTTTATTTCATTTCTTTTTTGTCCAATCGTACCCACTTCTACCACATCCCTTCTCTCTCCCATCCCCATTATAACCCTCCGATTTCTCTGCATTACCCTGGTCGTTACTCAGCCACTCAAGTCTCATGCCCGACGTTGCCTGCCATTCCCTTAATATCCTGATTGAACCCCATTCCACCACACTAAACCGCGTCCCCTCCAGCCCAACGGATCTCTCAGCATCGCTCTGGTCGTGACTCAGCGACTCAACTCCCCCACCACAATATCAATTTCCTACATCTCTTACTCCATCTAAACCCATCTGAATCGGACCACTCCAACCCAGCGGCTTTTTCAGTATCGCTCTGGTGGTGACTCAGCGACTCAATTCCCTCATCACCCTCGAGATTGCTTCCTTTCTTCATGCCCCCATCATCATCCCTTTGCACCGCATTGAACTCCACTATTCTCCAGCCAAACGGCTCCCTCAGCATTGCCCTGGTGGTGACTCAGCGACTCAACTCCCTCATCACAATATCAATTGCCTGCATTCTTTACTCCATCTAAACCTATCTGAACCGCACCCCTTGCAGCCAAACGGCTCTCTGAGCATTGCCCTGGTGGTGACTCAGCGACTCAACTCCCTCATCACTCTCGAGATTGCTGCTGATGACGTCACCTTCATCAAGAACAGGTGGGAGATGATGTCACTCTTCTTTCTCGGAATGCAGTAAAAAGAGAACCGCAGTAAGGCAAGGTAATTGCTTCAAGTCCACCACGTGTTGTTTCTTAAACCAACCACGAGGGCAGGGTTGCCAACAACGGCTCTCTCTTTTCCTCTCCTCCCTCGTCTTCCTGTCACAGGAGCCCCGGTCGCATAGTGTCTGTGGCGGCGCCTCTGTTTGAAGCCATGTCCAGCGAGGGGCGGGTGGACATCAAGGTTACCAACAACGGCTCTCTGGATGCGGATTTCACCCTCACGGTACATTCACACATCAGGTGCTTACAATGCGCACTGGCACTGTGAGGTCTGTCTCAGTGTGAATTCGCCCTCAGTCCACACAATCCACGCACAGAATGCACCATATTTGATAAAAAATATCTGCTGTCTGTATGCCACCAGTCCCTTCTCACCCCAATCGCCTTCACTTTTTCACACCTCCCTCTTATCCTTTCCTTCTTTCATACTCCCCTCCTCGTACTCCTTTGCTTGCAGATTCAGAATTGCTCCTCGGGGGTTCTCCCAATACCAGTGAGTTCTTCTCTTCGTCAGTCCTTCTCTTCTCTCCCCTTGCCCTTCTCTTGTCCACTTCCTTTTCATTTTCCTATGCGCTCCCCTTTCCTCTTGAATCTTCCCCAACTTGCTTGTTTGCCAATATCATTCGTCTTCCTCCCCCTCCCACCAGGCACAGGAGCGCAGCATAGCAGCAGGAGCAACAACCAGCTTCACCTTTCTGCTGCAACTCCAAGATTCCCTTGCCTCGCAACGCTCCTGCCTTGGTGAGATGCATTTTGAGGCGCCTCTGCAGTTACCCCTCACTCATAGTGTGTCTTTTAAGGGTTTTTTTTTTAACTGACAGTGTGTCTTTTTCGACTCAGCAGCGGGCTTCACCTTTCTGCTGCAGCTGCAGGAATGTTTTGCTTCCCAGCGCTCATATCTTGGCAGGAGGCCTCCCAGCAATACAACATGCACCATGCACTGTGTTGTGACCCATGCACCATGCGCTGGGACCCATGCACCATGCATCACATCTCCTTCCCTCCTCCTCCCCCATCCCTCGTCCAGTGGTCCTATATGATGCCATCTCATCGGTCGCTGACGTGGCGCCCCTCGCATTCACCACCAATGCCACGGTGGACAACCGGGGAGCGCAGAGTGGGCAGTCGGATGGCAAGGCCATCCAGAACACAACACTCTTCTCCCCACGCCCTGGCTCGTCGTCCTCCTCCTCTTCCTCGTCGCGTTCAAGTGACAATTCATGCAGGTGAGGCACTCATGGTTGGAGCAGTTGCCTTATCATGGTGGACAACCACAGGGTGCAGAGCGGGCAGTCAGACGGCAAGGTCATCCAGAACACAACGCTCTTCTCCCCTCGCCCTGGCTCCTCCTCCTCCTCCTCCTCCTCTTCCTCGTCCAATTTGAGTTCAAGTGACAGCTCGTGCAGGTGGGTCAGAAGCTTGTGTTTTGCCAGCTCACAGACAGATGGAACAGACAGACGGAGCGGGCAGACAGACGGCTAGACTATCCGCAACACAACACAACCCTTTTTTCTCCTCCGCATTTTCAGAAAGGCCTGCTTCGTCACTCACGCTTTCTGCCACCGCTTCCTATTCCCTGTGCCTCTCTACGCACTCCGTCCTTCCTTTTTCCCTTCCTCCACACACCAGTTTCGGCTGTCCATCATTCTTCAGCATGGCCTGCTAGGTCACTCATGCCTGCTGGGGTCACTCATGCCTGCTGGGGTCACTCATGCCTGCTGGGGTCACTCATGCCTGCTGGGGTCACTACCAACCCGCTGTGCCTTTCCATATACCCTCTCCTTCTGCTTATCCCTCTATCCATACAGCCTCGCCTGTCCGTCATTCTTCGGCATGGTCTGCTTCGTCACTCATGCCTGCTGGGGTCGCTTCCCATCCCCTGTGCCCTTTCGCACACCCTCTCCTTTTTTTTCATATCCCTTCCTTCCAAACAGCTTCTCCTGTCCGTCATTCTTTGGAATGGCCCACTTCGCCACTCATGCCTGCTGCTGGGGTCGTTTCCTCTTACACCCTCTCAACCTTCTTCGCACACCCTGTCTTTCCCATCCAATCAGCTTCTCCTGCCCGTCATTCTTCGGCATGGCCTGCTTCGTCACGCATGCCTGCTGGGGTCGTTTCGCCGGAGCCATAGCAGTCATGCTCATCATCCTCGCAGGTATGCTTGTGCAAGCTGGAGCCTGCCTTCCTCATTTGTAGGTTGGGACCGTTCGACGTGTTTGAGTTGAGACTTTATGACATTTTGCAGCCATTGCTGTCATCCTCATCATCCTCGCAGGTAAGCTTGTGTAAGATGTTTGTCATCCTCACTCTCCCCTTCTTCCTCCTGCACTCCGGTTTTGAGACGTTTCAAAACTTTTGAGACGTCTCTCGTTGCAGGTAAGCTTGTGTAAGACGTTTGTCGTCCTCACTCTCCCCTTCTCCCTCCTGCACTCCACATTCAAAGCTCTCCACCTAAGCTTGTCTTGTGAACCCTCAATCTTGTCATACCTTCGCCCAACCCCCATCTGCCCCCATTCACCCAGCTCTCATCACCTTGGCCCTGCTTCATCGCTCCGGTGTGCTCCTCCCCGCCCTCGCCCTCCCCTTCTCCCTCCTCCACTCCGCTCTCAAGGCCCTCCCCCCTCCTCCGTCCGCCTCACCCTCTCTTCTTCCCACGGATCCTGCTGCTGCTGGGGAAGGAGGGGCGCAAGGGAATGGGGTGGGGGGAACGCATGAGAGTGGGGCAATTTGGGCCACTCCTGGTGGTGGGTATGCAGAGGGTATGGGTAAAGGGAAGAAGGTGAGGAAATGGAAAGGGAAAGGAAAGATGGAGGAGGAAGCGGACGGGGAGGTGGAGGAGGGTGGGATGGAGGATGGAGGGGAGGGAAGTGGGGGAGATATGGGGGGGAGGCGGTACGGCAATAGTGTGTGTATATTTGTGGATGGTGGAAGGAGAGGGTCCACATTGGCTGTTGGACCGGGAATGGATGAGGTTCCTGGTTCCGGGCTCCACAGCCCTTCGGCTATCCACTGTGCATCATCGACATCTGCACCGTCCACGTCAGCACCATCAACATCTGCTGCACTGGCCACATCGGCACCAACATCATCATCATCATCATCATCATCATCATCATCATCATCATCATCATCATCATCATCATCATCATCATCATCATCATCATCATCATCATCATCATCATCATCATCATCATCATCATCATCATCATCATCATCATCATCATCATCATCATCATCATCATCATCATCTTGAAAATCATCCTCGTCCCATGGTCAACCTACCATCAATGTGCAAAACTACGCAAAAACCATGCAAACTACGCAAAAACCACGCAAACTACGGTATGCAAAAACCATTCAAACTACTACCGCACCGTAAATAAATACTGTTTTCGTGCCTGCAGTTGACATCGAATTCTCTCACAGTTCCTCATGGAGATGTCTTATTGTCTACCCTAAGTTAGGGACCAGTGCATTGCTCGTGTAGGACAATATCATAGCTATTACAGGATATATGACTAGTACAGTTGTGGAAACATCGCCCCTTCCTCTCTTTATCGCGGATTGGACTGCTTGCCAAATCTATTGGGCATCCTCCAGTTTGGCTCGTTTCTCGAGCTTATCATTTCCAGGCGAGATATATTTTTGAAACTCCACTCAAGAACTCCATCCTCGAGCTTGTCTCGTTTCGCATATTTGGGAATCTCGTCGCGTTTCGCCTTCACCTCATCGAGTTTTGGGTTGGGACATCTCGAAACTCGTTTTGGGGCTCCCTATTCGAGGTTTCTACCACCATACCCATCCACGTCCTATCACTGGCACTTCAGCTTTTGTTGTCCTCAGGCTATGAAAATGCCTGGAATTCTCTGGTTGCTTGGATCATGCTTCCATTGTGACCTGTAACCGGAGTCTACGATCACCCTGATTCGGATCGCTTCGCCTCTTTGGCGAGAGGAAAGAAACGACAACCGCGTCGCGTCCTCCTCTCCAAGCCTGAGCAAAGATGAAAAGAATCCACTAGGTAGAGTCATCTGCATCCCTGAACAAAGCTTTTAAGTATCCAGCTTCCTCTATGCTCACGCCCTCCCGCTCCTGTCACCTCGCGCTATAGTCACAATGCGCAAGCTACGTGTCCTGATCGTGGGAGCCGGTATCGGCGGCTGCACGCTCTCCCTCGCGCTCCGCCAGATCACCGCGCGCACGCTCCCCGCCATCCTCCAACGCGCTTCTACACCCGCCGCCTCCTCCTCCGCTACAGCCGCCGCTGCCGGCTCCGCCGCGCCCTTACCCCCCGCGTCGCCCGCCGAGTCGCTGTTTGAGGCGACGGTGTTCGAGCAGGCGCCACAGATCCAGGCGGTCGGCGCGGGGCTGTCTCTGGGAGCCAATGGGCTGCGGGTTTTGGACGGACTCGGGCTGTATGAGAAGATCCAGGTGAGGAGAATATAGCCAAGGGAGGTAGATCTGGGAGAGGGAGAACTGGGGGAGGTGTAACAGAGAGGCTCTTGGCGCGGGGCTGTCGCTGTGCGCCAATGGGCTTCGCGTGTTGGACGGATTGGGCTGTATGAGAAGCTCCAGGTGAGGGAAACAGTGGCTGGGAAAGGTAGGAAGTGGGGGTGGTGGACCTAGGAGAGGGGAGGTGGATCTGGGGGAGGTGGATCTAGGGGAGTTGGATCTGGGGGAGGTAAATCTGGGGGAGGTGAATCTGGGGGAGGTGAATCTGGGGGAGATGGATCAAATGGGGCCAATGGGCTGCGCGTGTTGGACGAACTCGGGCTGTATGAGAAGATCCAGGTGAGGGATATACAGCGTGGAGGAAGGTAGATCTAGGAGAGGCTGTCAGTGGGAGGCAGTAGGCTGCGCGTGTTGGACGGACTCGGGCTGTATGAGATGAGAAGATTTAGGTGAGGGAAACACAGCGTAGGGGAGGTGTACCTGGTGGAGGTGGAACTGGGGGATTTGGAACTGCAGGTGTTACGTTCCAAACACATCGTAGAGTCTCGATTTCATGGTTACGCTTCAAAATCACCGTTTACGTTCTTAACACGATGTTACATTCTTAACACATTGCCGCTTTCGTTGATACGTCTGCCGTCCCTTCCTGCTCTGCATTTTTTAGGCGCCTCAAAAATTGCCACTTTCATTGATACGTCTCTCGTCCCTTTCCTGCTCTGCAGAACCTGAGTGGGCCCATCTCCTCGCTGCACACATACACGGAAAGTGGCAGGAAGCTTCGCACCTTTGACTATTCATTCATGTCCAAGCGCTACGGCTACCCTATGATGGCACTGGAGCGAGCAGAGCTGCAGGTGAGTCGGAGGAAGAGGCAAACGAAGATTCAGGGGCGATTTCACGGTGCAACATAACCACTTGCACTTGTGAGCTTCGCTCCGTTGACCAATCGTTCATGTCTCAGCACTTCGGCTACCCCATGATGGCATTGGAGCGAGCAGAGCTGCAGAAGGGTGTGTGAAGGATGGTAGTCTCTTGAAAAAACTCAGTAGTGGCCCAAATATAGTGAGCGCGTGTAGGTGAAGGATGGTAGTGTACAAGTCATTCACAGTAGAGCAGAGCTGTGGTGGTTGGAAGGTGATGCGGCTACTCCATGATGGCCCTGGAGCGAGCAGAGCTGCAGGTGGGTGGGGGGGGAGGATGGTAGTGCACGAGTCACGCGATATGGCTAGTGGGTGAGAAGGCGCTTTAGCTACCCCATGATGGCCCTGGAGCGAGCAGAGCTGCAGGTGGGTGGGGGGGGAGGATGGTAGTGCACGAGTCACACGATATGGCTATTGGGTGAGAAGGCGCTATAGCTACCCCATGATGGCCCTGAAGCGAGCAGAGCTGCAGGTGGGTGGGTGAAGGATGGTAGTGCACGTTTGAGAATTCTCAAAAGTAACTTATGAAAATTCTTAGAAGTGGGTGGGTGAAGGATGGTAGTGCACAAGTCACAGTGGTTTGGAAGGCAATACGGCTACCCCATGATGGCCCTGGAGCGAGCAGAGCTGCAGGTGGGTGGGGGGGGAGGATGGTAGTGCACGAGTCACACGATATGGCTAGTGGGTTGGAAGGTGATACGGCTACTCCATGATGGCCCTGGAGCGAGCAGAGCTGCAGGTGGGTGGGGGGAGAGGAGAAGGGGAAATGGGGGGTTCAGGATGATAATGCAAAGCTTGCATTCGGTTGGAAGGCCCTTTGACTGTCCCCTGATAACTCTTCCCCCCCCACCACCTGAACTTCTTCCTCCTCTCCACCCTTCCCGACCTCCTTTGCTGCTTCCCGAACCGCTCTCCTTCCCAACCTCCCTGTGCCACGTGGCAGGGCCTGCTGGTGCACGAGGTGATGTCAGGCGCTGAGTCAGCATCCGTGCCGCCCATTCTGTTCAACAAAAAGTGCATCTCCGTGCAGAACCTTGGGCCAGGGAAAGGTACGCCAGCTGTCTGTCATTGAGCGTGACAGGTGTCACTGGGTGTGTGTGCCAGCTGTCAGTCAACCTGTAGGCCTCTGTCCCTTCTTTCCTTCCCCACCACCCACCAGGTGTGCGAGTGCAAATCGAGGATGGCATGTGTGATGTGAGGTGGGGGATGTGGTGGTGGGAGCACTCGTGCCGCAATCTTCTTTACCCGCTCACCTTCCCTCCTCTCCTTCTCTCTCCTCCACCAGGCGTGGGAGTGCAAATCGAGGATGGCACGTGTGAGGTGGGAGATGTGGTGGTGAGAGACCGCTCCACCGTCTCTCTCCACACTCTTGGGGTGTGCGAGACCGCTCAGTGTTCACTGTACCTTCTCTCTTTCCTACTCTCCTTCATCAGAAGTGCGAGTGCATTTCGAGGATGGCATGTGTGAGGTGGGCGATGTGGTGGTCGGAGCACTCTCAACAAACTGCAGATTTCGTACTCTCAAGGGGGCTCACCATTCCTCTGTTTCCGCTTTCCTTCCCCACCACCCACCAGGCGTGCGAGTGCATTTCGAGGATGGCACGTGTAAGGTGGGCGATGTGGTGGTCGGAGCAGATGGGGTGAAATCAGCCGTCCGTTCTGCTGTCATGCCACGTCATGATCCACATGTGAGTGACGCCATGCCACGTCATGAGTGATGTCATTCTACGTCATGATCCACATGTGTGAGTGCTGTCACGTGACGTCACACTCCAGATGTGAATCATGTCATGCCATCTCATCAGCTGCTGTCAGCTGCTGAAACTCTCACTCACGACCACATTCACTCACTCACATGCATCCACACCTTATGCACACACACACTCAATCACTCACTCTCACACACACTCAGCTTAAACACGTCACTCGCTGACCTCATCCCCCTCAATCCCGCCCTCTCTCCCATGACCAACATCCCAGTCGAGGCTCAGCAGCCACTTGCAGAGTAGAAAAGGTTTTGAACCGCAGCAAGTAAAATTACTAATTGGGCGAACTCGTTTTGGCATTTCCCTTCCCCTCTCTCAGGAATCTCCCGCATCCGCGGAGTCACTTCCCCCATCCCTGACTGACTCCCTGGAACAACTTCAAAATAGCACCATGCCTCTTTCCCCCCACCCCCCACCCTCTCATAGGACCGGAAGCCAAGCCGTGGCTCAGCTGCCTACAGCGGAATCTCCTGCATCCTCGGAGTCACCTCCTCAGTTCCCGACTGGCTTAAAGGCAGCGCCTACTGGGTTCTCGGGCCAGGCAAGGTCTATGGCACATGGAGCATGGGTCGAGACAAGCAGTACTGGTTCCTATCGGAACAGGAGCTGATTACTGCGGATAACCTCGCTATGTGGACACCGAGTGACGCTTTAAAGGGGATGGACGACATGTGGAACTGGTTTCATCCGTACGATGCTCATGCGATGTTTTCCCGGACCGTTCGGGCAGTTAAAATTGGGTTTTTCGAGCTGCCTGCGGACGCGCCGTGGGTGGGGGGAGCGCCGAGTGTGGGAGGAGGGGGAGGGGGGAAGGTGGAGGGGCGGGTAGTGGTTGGAGGGGAGAACAGAGTGGTTCTGTTGGGTGATGCGGCTCATGCGATGCTGCCGACAGTGAATCAGGGGGCAAACAGCGCAATAGAAGATGCTGCAGTGTTGGCCCGGGCTTTAACAAAGTACTGCGTTGCTCCAACCATGCAACACAGCAGAAGCAGCGACAGCAGCAGCACTGGAAGCAGCAGCGATAGCAGCAGTGAGGGCAGCACAGAAGGTACTACCAGCAGCAGCAGTCCCAGTGCGGTCTACAACTGGCAGAATGAGGCAGCAGCAGCAGTGCCCACGGCACTTGCAGCGTACGCAGCAGCGAGGGAGACGCGGGTGAGGCGCATGATTGCAGTGTCCCGGCGCACAGGGCAGTGGCAGACGAGCTATAACCCGCTCGTGCAGCGCTTGCAGCAGGGTTTATTGCAGTTCACGCCTCAAGGTGCTATGGAAAGATCTATGGACTGGATGTACAAGTACAGAGGGCCGGAGGGCATGTCGTGGTGACTGGGAAGCAAGGGTTGCAGTTTGGTGCACAGGGCACAGGGCACAGGGCAGTGGCTGACGAGCTATAACCCGCTGGTGCAGCGCTTGCAGCAGGGGCTGTTGCGATTTACACCACAGGCTGCTATGGAGCGGTCTATGGACTGGATGTACAAGTGTAGAGGGCCGGAGCCTGGTAGGGTGGCAGTGGGAGGAGGGGTTTGTGGATAGGGAAGTGGCGAGCTACAACCTGCTCGTGCAGCGCTTGCAACAGGCACTGATGCAGTTCACCCGCAGGCTGCCATGGAGCGATCGATGGCAGCCTGCGGGGTGAACTGCATCAGTGCCTGTTGAAAAACCTGATCGATGCACTGGATGGTAGAACGAGCTGAGGTTGATTGTGCGGTTTCAGAAGGCCGGAAGGGGTGTCGTGGAGAAAAAGGGAGAGCTGGTTGAATAAGGGTGGAAGCACAAGCACAGAAGGCCCAGACGAGATTTATGGTAGGATGCATGGACTAGGAGCGAAAGTACGGTAAATGAGTGCTGGAGGGGACGCCTCGGCAATCAAGGGGACACTCTACAAGTAGAACAGGATGAAGTTGACTGTAAAGAAAGTGTGCCAGCAAGCGGTAACATGTGGGTATTGGAAAATAGGACTAGGTAATTGTCACAATGTGTGTTGCTTAACTAGAGTAACATTTACAAGTTTAAAGGCTGGAGTCCTAAAAGCCATGATGTAAGTTCTTAGCCTGAAGTTGGGTCTTCGAATTGTTGAAACAAGATAAGGGTGCTTGCGGTTTGTTCGACCAATTTATTTAGGAAAGACACCCCACAAGCGGGTACAATTGGGTGACTAGCCCCGATGCGCGCTCCACGTCCACATATGGACACGAGTGAGGGGCCACGAATCTCGCAGGGCCAGGAAGGGATTTCGCCAGAGTGCGTTTTGCGTCGCCGCCTGTTTTTTCGCGAACCTTTAGTTCGTGCGGTGATTTGGCAGGAACGGTTCGATGAAACGAGCGGTGCAGTGCGGTGTCATTGACAATCCCAAGGTCTCCATGCAGAGTTTGATTTGAATGCCTCGAGGTTGGATTGGGCTGTGATCATGATCATGCGTCCTGCAGAACGCAGCCGTGATGCTGCTCAACTGATGATCCTCCTCACGCTTCTTGTAGTCAACCTTTTCTAGCTTTCAGTCTCATTAGTCTAGCTTGTTTGCAATGTAGCTTTGAAGCTAAGACAGACTTATCTAGCTGAACAGCCGTTAGACTCTTGTTAGTCCCTCGTTTCAAGATGCCGGCCGGATCGCCTATCCAACGGCTACCGGAGGAGCTGCTGTCTCAGATTCTGTGCTCTCTGGTTCGACCTGATGGTCAGCTGGAGCACGCGCGTGTTAGCCAGCAATGGCGTCACATCGCGTACCGCTTGCAACCAGAAATCTACTTGCCTTACAACCTCCTTATGGATCCGCGTCAGTTCGTTCAACTTCTGTCGTCGTATTCTAACCTCAAAAAAATCGTTCTTTCTGATGCCAGCCTCACCTCAGCGTCGAATTTCCTATTCTCTCGCCTGGCCGACTTGTGTCCTCGTTTAGCCGAGCTTAGTGTCGAACGGATGGGGCGTGGATACAGACGCACAGGCGTAAGCGAGAAGAGCCTGACGTTTCTCTTCGAGAGCTGTACTATGCTCGAAGATCTCCATTTGGAGTGTTCACTCAATGCTGCCATTCCTCCGTCGATCGAACGGCTCACATTGCTCAAGAACCTGCATCTCGACGCAAGCGTCACGCGTCTACCCGACACAATGACCTCGCTGCAGTCTCTCAGAACCCTCGTTCTGCACGCTTCCCGTCTCGAGGCCTTACCACAGGAATTCGGCAATCTGGTTCTCTTAGCGTCGCTCGAGCTGCACGGTTGCCGCTCCCTGGCGTCGTTTCCAGACTCCTTCAGTCAGCTTTTTAATCTGGGCCGTCTCTCCGTCAGCAACTCTTCCAGGTTGCAGCTGCCGGCCTCTCTCACCGGACTCTCGTCTCTCACTGCCTTGGAGCTTCGAGATTGCGAGTTTTCCCTCCCGCCACCCGTCGATTTTCCTCAACTGTCGAGGCTCGAAACTCTCATCATGGAAGAAGTAACGGGACTGCACGAACTTATCGAGGCTCTGGAGCATCTACGGCGGCTCAAGACTGTAATTTTGAAAAACTGCATCGAAATCACGTCTCTGCCGGAGTCGCTTTTCCGCCTGCCTTCACTCACCAGTCTCGCTCTTCACATGTCAGAAGTATCAGCTCTGCCTGACGATATTGGGCGCTTGTCCAAGCTACAGACACTCGTGCTGGAGTTGGAAGAACTCATAACTCTTCCTGATTCCATCACTCTGGTTACCACGCTCCAAGAGCTCTCTCTCGAAAACCTTTTCCACCTGTCGTCACTGCCCGAGGACTTCGGGCAGCTGATTGCTCTTCAAAAGCTGCACCTGATCAACCTTGGCCAGCTCACAGGCCTGCCTGATTCCATCGGGCAGTTGACAACTCTCCGGGAGCTCAAAGTCGTTGATTGTAGGCAGCTGAAGCAACTTCCTGACACCCTATCCCGGTTATCTTCTCTCGAGCACCTGACGATCGAGAGTTGTCCGGGCCTCAAGGTGCTGCCAGACGAAATGGGGAGCGGTATGAAGCGGTTGCGCTATCTACATCTGGTGCACTGCTCTTCTCTCACCCACCTTCCTCCGTCTTTCTCCGCCCTGACGTCCCTCGAAACCCTCAAGATCATGCGAGCTAAGCGCTTCAGAGGCGCCCTATTGGACGGCTTTTGCTGCCTGACAAGCCTTAAGGAGTTGGTGCTGCAAGACATGCCTCGCCTGGCTGCCCTTCCTGCTTCCTTCTCAGGCGTTTTCTCACTCACCAGCCTGGAGATTATCAATTGCCCTAAAGTACCGGATTTTCCTGAGGGGATCGGACGGCTGGAGGCGCTCGAGGAGGTCAGAATCGCACGGATGGACGGCTTGAAGCGTCTTCCTGCGTCGCTGGTTGAGCTGCCCCGAGTTCGGGTGTTGGAGGTGCGGGTATGTGATGGGATCGGCGCGTTGCTAGGGGATGAGATAGTGCTGAAACGCACTGCCAAAGGATCTTCGGTGATCTTCAACAGCACCGCCAGCAGCAGCAGCAGCAGCAGCGGCACCATCTGCAGGAAACTTCTTCCATCCGTTCGAAGCCTCAAGATTAAGTCTCTCCCTTTCTTAACCATCGGCCCGTCCCTTGGCCAGCTCTCCTCTCTAACGAAGCTGAAGCTGATAGAAATGGACAACCTAATAGCCCTTCCTGAATCCATCTCTCGACTCTCACAGCTGAAAAAGCTCCGGATCGATTTTGCCTTGAAAATTGAGGCACTGCCGCACAGTTTGGGAGGGCTGTCAGGGCTGCGGGTCTTGCAACTGCGCTACTTGGCGATACGGGAGCTGCCCGAGTCTTTGGGGCAGCTGAAAATGCTCGAGACACTGGAAATTATTGACTGTGACAAGCTGAAGAAACTTCCGGGATCCTTTGGGAAACTGTCCAAATTACAAGTCTGTATCTTCACCAAGCTTGCGATCTCAACATTTCCAGGGAATTTCTGGAAGCTTTCTTCCCTCCAAGAGTTGGTGCTCCTGGGTCTGAAGCATGTCCGCAGCTTGCCAGAGTCGTTCTCTAGGCTGCCTAAGCTACAGGTGCTGGTGGTGTGTGCGTGCCAAAAGCTGGCTCACCTGCCGTCTTCTCTCTGGGGAATGCCGACATTGCGTGAGTACGACGTTAGCGAATGCCCTTTGCTTTCACGGGCAGACAGGAGGGGGTTTCGTGCAAGGGCGGGCGAGGAGGATGATGAGGAAGAAGAGGAAGAGGGAGTGGCGGTTGGTGAAGGAGAGGAGGAGGGAGGAGAGGAGGAGGAGGCCGAGGGAGAGGAGGGAACAGAAGTGGCGGTGGAAGGGGAAGAGGCGGAGAGGGAGGCAGAGGAGGAGGATGCAGAGAGTGATGGTGAGGACTGGAATATCCACCATGAGTATGGGTTTGACAGTGAAGATGATAGGGATGATGATTATGGAGGCTGGGGGGCAAGCGATGAGGATGAGGAGTAACCTATTGTTTGAGGCGCCTCAAATATGAGGACTGGGGGATTCACCATGAGTATGGGTTGGACATTGAAGATGATAGGGATGATGATGATGATGGAGGCTGATGAGGATGACGAGGAGTAACCCGTTCTTTGTGGTGCCTCAAAAGGGAGGACTGGATTATTCACCATGAGTATGGGTTGGACAGTGAAAATGACAGGGACGACGACGGAAGCTGGGGGGCGAACGATGAGGATGAGGAGGAAGTGGCGGAGAGGATGTGAGGACTGGAAGAACGGAGAGCAGGTTGTACGGTAATGGTCGGATTGGAAGTTTCATATGGAGGATGGGTTGGAACTTGGAATGGAAACTTTTATGTTTTCTTAGCCACGGTGTAGTTGCAATTTTGGTACCATAGCTCCTTCTAGTTCTAGTTGGCTTGCAGCGTGCATGTTGCTACACACCCCAGAGGCACCCATCTGTTGTCTAGGTGTTTTGCAAGCTATGCCCTGCTTCCTTTTCTACTACTTTAAACACACTATTAAGGTACTGCACTTGCACCACAGAACAAGGTTGTCCTAAAAATGTTGCAAATTTCTCAAACTGTAGGTGTACAAGTGCACTGTACAGGTAAAGGTTGTTGGGCTGAGTGCCCCTTAGGATCTTTGGTAGGGTTAAACTCTGGGTAGAGTGATGTAGTAGCGGAAGCGTTTAAATGAAGTCCTTGAACCACCTTGCGCTGGTATGTGATGGCAAAGTAAGTTGATTAAAACAAGCAAGTACAAAGGTTTATATAAGAGTACAAAGAATACGAAGAGATATAATTAAACTGTTGCGGTTCGATACAGTGCGACTCGGGCAACTGCTCAATGTCGAGTCAGTTGTGTGTCCTTGCTGTCGCGCTGCATTTGTCAAGTCAAAGGTCGCTGACCTTTGACTTTCGCGTAACCTCCAGCGGTTACTTCAATCTCCGAGAGTTGACTCGCTGGTGCCTCGATATGCTATGCTTCGCTTGTGCCTTGGTGTTTCGACACGACAGAGGCGCTTAAGATTGTTTGTTCCCAACACTCCCCTTCGCTTCTGGAGTGTCGCTGCTAGTGACGTGGCTTTGTCCAATCAGCAGCATGCAGTACTCGAACTTCTGTTTTTCGAGCTTCTTGGTCAAGTAGTCAGCTGCCATCTCGGACGTGGGACAGTAGGATAGTTCAAGTCTCCCCTTCTCAATCTCGTCTTTCACGAAGAAATATCGCAGAGCGATATGCTTCGTTCTGTTCGCGAATCCATTTTTGTTGGCGATGCGAATTGCAGATTGGTTGTCGCAGAACAGAGTGAAGTTGGGTAACTCGGCTAACTTCGCTTCTTCCAGCAGCTCGCGAAGATAGAGTCCTTCCTTGGTGGCTCAGCAGAGTGCAATATATTCTGCTTCAGCTAACGAGAGAGCAATTAATTCCTGCTTGCTCGATTGCCAGGAGATCGGTCCGATAGGTTCGAGGCGGTAGATGTAGCCGGTGCGGGAGCGCCTGTTGTCTGAGTCGCCAGCGTGATCAGCGTCGACGTAGCCGATTAATTTAGTCGGTGTAGTTGTGTTCTTGTAGTAAGTTAGGCCGATTGTTGAGGTTCTGACGAAGTAGTGGAGAGCGTGGTCGAGCTCCGCCAGGTGTTCTGCTTCAGGCTTCTTGAGGTAGGTGGCGAGCTGGCTTGCGGAGTATGAGAGGTCGGGGCGGCAGGTGACAGCTGCGAAGAGAAGGCATCCTAGCTTTCTCTGGTAGTCGCGTATCCCGGCGGATTTGAGTAGAGAGGATCCTTCCTTGTGGTTTCCTGTCGCGTAGCGGTAGGGCGTAGAGATGGTGGTAGGTGTGAGCGCGAAGCGTTTGGCGATGGTGTTGGCGTACTTAGTGGCGTTGAGGTAGATCGCGCCTTCTTCTTCCCGAATGTTTAAGCCGAGGTACCGTGTGACGGTAGAGGAGACCGTGAGTGTGAGGTCCCTCTGTAGCTCCCCTTCGAACCAGGTGGTGATGTCGTCAGTGAAGCCGATGTAGAGTAGGTCGTCTACGTAGACGATCAGCAGAATGTAGCCGGTGTCTTTAGTGAGTCGGTACATTCCTTGGTCGTGAGGTAGTTGGCGGAATCCGATGCGAATGAGGCGAGCGTGTAGGTACTGTTGCCATAGCCGCGGAGCTTGCTTGATCCCGTAAAGTGATTTCAGCAGTTGACAGACTTGGTTAGGTTCCCCGTTGGTACCGTGTGGGAGCTCGACGAAGATTTCCGCGTCGATAGGTGCGTAGAGGAACGCGTTGGCGACATCGATTTGCCGTAGCTTCCTTTTCTTCATGGCGGCGATCGCGAGGAGGATTCGAAGTGAGGTATGTCGGCTAACCGGGGCGAATGTCTCGGTGAAGTCCCGTCCGTGCTCCTGATCGAATCCACGCACAACCCAGCGTGCTTTGAACTTCTCAATTGTGCCGTCTGCTTTTGTTTTAACGTGGAAGACCCATTTCCCGGTGAGAATGGTCTTGTTCCTTGCCACGCTGATGGGGACAAATTTCCAGGTGTTCCGTTCCTCCAGCGCCTTTAACTCTCTGTCCATGGCTTCACGCCATTTTTCCCTGTGTTCCCCCCCCAGAGCCTGCTGAACCGCCGCAGGCTCCTTAGGGAGAGTGTTGCCGTGGACTGCGGTGACGAGTCTGAGAATCTGCAGTCCAGTCTGTGAGTAGCGGGGAAGAGTTGCATCCTCGGGATAAGCTGCTTCATCTCCCGCTTCTGGATCAGGTATGAAATTCGGTCCTACTTGTTCTGCTTCGTTGGTGTTTACTGTCGCAGGTGTTACGTAACCGTTGTCGGCGAAGTAGTAGAAGGTTTCGGCGTTGAGACTTTCGCGAGGGTTATCTTCGTCCATGGGGACGTCGACGGAGCAGAACGGAAGGGGTCCAGCTTCTTCTGATGCGTTGGCCACATTCTGCTCGTCCCAGTCAGCTTCGTCTGCTGCCGAGGCGAAGGCTCGATCACCACGAAAACCACCTGTGGGATCTTGGTCCTCTTGCAGGTTGGCAAGGTATGTCTGGAGCGTGAGTCGTTCGTAGAAAATGACATCGCGTGCTGCTACTGTTTCCTTGGAGTGGACGTCAAAGATTTTCCACGCGTTGTAGTTCTTTTCGATGCCGAGGTGTAGTCCCCACTGTGCGCGTTGTGAAAATCGGCCCGCTCATGCTGCTGGGGGTCGGTACTGTACCATGCATTTGTCAGAATCCCAACCACTAGACCATTGGGAAAAAAGGGCTTGTTTCAGAAGCGGGTCAGTGCGCCCATAACCCCCCACGCAAACGCGCCTGTAACCCCCCCTAGGATCGATCGGGGATCTCACAGTGTAGCTCTACTGACACCCCCCCACACTGGGAGGCCCAGGACTGAGCACAGTGGCAACGGCCAACATGTGCATACACCGGGATTCGAACCCGAGACCGCTCTGATACCATGTCAGAATCCCAACCACTAGACCATTGGGATAAAAGGGCTTGTTTCAGTAGCGGGTCAGTGCGCCCATAACCCCCCAGTCAAACGCGCCTGTAACCCCCCCTAGGATCGATCGGGGATCTCACAGTGTAGCTCTACTGACAGCATTCGAACACTCGTAACATTTTTGTGCTGCCCTGCTTTCCTGTCCACAGCAGATGCGGTGATGCGTTGTTCGGTAGTGATGAAGATGAGAGCAAGTTGTGCAGCATGACAGCGTGGTCCATCGCGTCAGGCCACTTGTGGTTGGGTAGCCGCATGCCACGCAACAGTTTGCGCATGCTGTTTTGCAGAGTTCTGTTCATTCTTTCTGCTACACCTTGCTGCTGATGGGCGTAGGGAAGAGAGAGGAGCTGCTTGATTCCCCTTTCCGCCAGGTACTGCTTGAATCGCTGAGAGGTGTATTCTCCTCCTCCGTCAGACTGGAAGCTTTTCAGCTTTACGCCCGACTCTCTTTCTGCTACTGGTAGCCAAGCAGCGAATGCTTCGAGGACCATGTCGCGGCTGGGTAGGTTTAGATGCCAGACGTAACGGGTGGTGGCGTCGATGAAGGTGATTATGTAGTTGTATATTACTTGTCCTGGTTCCTGATTGTACAGGATGTCGCTATACACCTTTTCGAGTGGTGCGTACGCGGGTGCGCTCGGGTTGTGATGAGGAGTGAACGGCCGATGTGGTAAGTCGGCTTTGGGGCAGGTAAGACATGTTCCTCGTGCCAGTTGAAGTTCTCTGCCGTCGAGTAGTAGTAACGAGTCCTTGTCAAGGACTCCTGCTCTTATTGTGTTGTTTAACACAGTGTTGCTTGGGTGTCCCATGCGTGCGTGCCAGATGTCTTCGGAGACGCGGTGTCCGGGTGAGCGTCGATACGCGTCAGAGTTGGAGTAGAAGCTGGCGGTGAAGTTTGCGCTTCTATGGACTTCCCGTTGAGCCGGATTCAGCTGTTGTGCGGGTGTTGGTGGTGCTTCGTCAACGAGGACTGGTGTCGTTGTTGCTGCTACTGTTGTTGTTCCTGCTATTGCCGATGATGTCTCTGCTGCTGCCGATGTTGTCTCTGCTGCTGCCGATGTTGTCTCTGCTGCTGCCGATGTTGTCTCTGCTGCTGCCGAATGTTGTATTGTTACTAACACACGTGCTCATTCTGCTTCAGTAATGGTATGTGAATACCAAAAGCCTTCCGGACTGAAGTCGGTGTCGAGATCCGGCGGGTGGGTTTAAGATGTGAAGGTGATGATCCCGTCACTGTCTGCGGTGCCCAGGTCTG